GATGAATCGCCTCAAGGAATCGGATCCCCTCCCAATTCTCGACGACTTCATCGCAGAATGTGAAACTTTCGTCACTTTGCGTTCAGATAACCGAACGATGGAGACAAAGGAGATAAACGCCGCTCACCAAGTAAAGCCATTTCAAAAAGCGACTTGGACCAAAACACGTCAGTTTCAGAAGGCGCTCCTTTTCCAAAGAACGAGAAAGCGGCATGGAGAAACAGAATCGGAGAAGCGTGTCGACAAAGAAAAGAAGAGCTCGATCTTCCAAACGCAAGCTTCGATGCAAGAACGTAGATGTCATGACCAAAGATGCAAGAACCTACATGAAAGTCCGCATTAAATGGCCAGCTCACCTCATACAAGCTCGAACTGGAGCAGACATAACAATGATATCTCGCAAAACATGGACCAAAATTGGATCCCCGACTCTTCGCCCAGGCATCTCAACAGTGAAGACAGCTGATGGTTCACCTATGAAGATCTTAGGATGCTTCGAAGCCGACTTTTCAATTTTCGATCGACATCAGAGACCTATCTCTGGAAGAGGAAATTGTTACGTCACAGAAGCTACCGATCTCCTGGGACTCGAATGGTGTATCCAAATGCCAGACTATCGTCAGCTCAAAGAACAGTACAACTGTCGACAAGCGACTGCAGCACTCGATAACCATCGCAACGAACTTGTTACTCACCTGAGAACACAGTTCCCTAATGTCTTCGCCCCAGGTCTTGGACGCTGTATTAAAACGAAGGCTAAGCTATTCCTAAAACCAGAGGCTCAACCAGTGTACCGTCACAAGCGACCTGTACCATTCGCCTCTCAACCAGCTGTCAATGCCGAAATCGATCGCCTTATCCAAGAAGGTGTACTCACAGCTGTGGACGCAGCTCAACAATTACGAAGAGTGATCTGTTATGTAATTGAAACTACCCAGTGACAGTTATATAGCACCCACGGCTGTTCACGAAACCGCGGAATTCGTGGGACTGTTGGGCATTCAAGCCCGAGGTTCAACAAGCACCAGCTGGACGAACACCGCCCACGATTCCAACAATGGAGCTAGGTTGGCTCTTGTTACCTGAGTTTGAGCGATTTCAAAAACATTTCTTTTTAGAAATTTTCCCCGTTGTGACCCTCGCGTGATCATGGGGGGGGGGGCAACCACAAGTCGCTACGCTTTGGACATCCATGGCAAGCTTCATACACGGCCTTTCGTAAAAAAAACTGTGCCGGAAGCATGAAGCTTTCTACTTTCCAGCAAAACTTTCATTTTATCCCTAGGCCTGCTATTCGAAAAAATCCCCCGTTGTGATCATAGAAAATCACTCCCCCACGGCCCGAAAAATCAACCCCTCCGACGCCAGAAAATCTCCAGTTGGCTTTAAGACATTGGTATGCTTCTAAAACGCATGTTTTTGCCAAGGATACCAGGAAATAGTTCATTGGACGCCAATTGGCATCACCTCTGCATTGCGCCATGCATAGCGCTTTCACGCAGAGCTATTGGGAAGGTGCAACTTCTAGAAAGGGCTTCCTTCGTGCAGGTAGATGTGCTTGCACGGTCAGAAAGGCTCGGAAGTGTATTTTCATCTGTTCACTAGTTCATGGCGGATATTCATTGGCGCGGGGGTGGTGTAGTGACAAGTGGCGCGCTTACCACTCGCGCGATGCCGGGTTCAAATCCCGGGTCGACTTTCGCCTAGGCCAACCAAGCCTTCTACCCTCCGGGGACGGTAAGATGGTACCAGATTCGTCTGGGAGGATAAAACACTGACTTGTACATCGGCTGGCCACCGCAAGTCATTGTATAGGCCACATCGCATTCAATAAGCCACTACGATTCTGAATGGAAGTAGAATGCGTGCCGCATCCCACAAAGGGGTTGATCAACGGCGGAGACTTTATCCTTTATCTTTTTTTATTAATTCATGACGTCGTTGTGGGAGGCCATCATATTCCCTGTCATCGCCCGTTCCCCATTTCTGCGCTGGCAGGTTGCTTCTGTATTGTGTGGGTCTCTTCAGAGGTCCTTCACATGGATAAGTCTTTCATCATTGAAGCTGAACGACAGCTGGGTATCGCTGCACCCTCACTTCAGAAAGGTCCCCGCGCTTACGACCCCCCTCCCTCGAGGTCAAATACGACCCCCTGTTGTGATGATCACAACGATGGCGTACCCTGGTTACAGGTCCACCTTAGCATTCTCATTTCAGCAGAAAGGTTGCCTCTGCTGATCCCGGTCAAAGAACCAGCTTTCGCTACAGTGTGGCCTCTTCAACCTGACTTTTGTAGGGTACATCTCTCCTTTTAGCGTCTAGGAGTACCACCAGTCATAGAATATGTGTATAGTCTCTCTTTTCCTTCTTTGGAGCGGACTTTGGCCTTATCAACAACAGCTAGCAGGCAGCACCTCCTGCCACTTGTTTACCCTGGGATTCTTCTCAAGTTTCCGCTATCAAGGCAATGTAACCGATGTTCAGAATATTCTTGTGTGACTCTTCCTATAAGCTCCTTTGCTGCTGCACCCAGGGGCCGTATGCTATACTTCCCCTCGAAGGAGAGTCCCCTCTAAGGGAAGCTACCCCGAGAGGAACGTCCCCAGACAGGCCGTATGCTACACTCGAGGAAATTCCCGAGGAGGTGGAGACACAGAGTTCGCTGGCTCAAGTTTGGTGGAAGGGTCGCCTGTACTGTGGTCAGAGCTAAGAATAATAGGAACGCGCTTAGAAGTACCTTTTGGTGCATCCCAACCTTGACGCCATCTCCTTTGTAAGGCCTTGCGGAGTGCTTTTAGCAGCCTCAACTACATCACACTCCTTTCACACGAGATATCAGGTGCTCGAGAACATTCCGTACTCTGAACGCTTCCAACGCTTCCAGAGCACAGGGTATGGAAGGCGATCCAGTGCCCTCTCAAGATCCAAGAAGCCTAAATAGCAGAAATGATGTTTGTCTCAGTACTTCTCCATCATCTGTTTGGCGATGGAGATAGCATCAGTCGTGGATCTTCCTAGCATGAAGTCGAACTGCTCCTGCAGGAACGGGGGAAGTTCTCCCAGTCTCGAATACACCAAACGCTTGTACAACTTGTACAACTAAACGGTAGGTGCAGTCAACTTGATGCCTCATTTCATCGTTACCCTTGCTCCGGATGAGGAAGACTGTGCTGCACCGCCATGCCTCTGGGTTTCTCTCTTTGGGTGGTACGTTGTTTGCAAGTGTAGACAACGAGTTCGTCCAGGCAGGAGGCAGTCGGATGGAGTGCGCGCTGCATATTGTTTCTGGGACGCTGCTGGCTGTAATTGCCACCTCCACCGAGCCCCTGCAGCCGCTCCTCTGAATCGGCACAACTCGTCACAAGCCCACTTATCACCTTGATTCTTGTAGCTGATTGACCAACGATTTCTATAGCAGTGTTATAGAGCACGAAATTTGCTATCAGAACATGCAAACATATCAGCGAAACATTCAAATATTAGCATAAAATTTCAGGTGGAACAGACGTGAGCTGCCCAATATCGGCGAGGTGAAGGTTGGTAACTTCAAAATTCTTGAAATTCGTTCCAAAGCGTCCTAGTGAGATTCCCTTGCTGGAACTTCTAGCTCGACCTTTTCAAAATGTATGGAGCAGCTTAAGCGATTTTAGCACTTCGACTATACGTAAATAGAGGCAGTTGTCGAAGGTGCTAATTTTCGCCGACTTCGCTTTCAACTTCAACGACTAAAAAATCCACAAAAATTATTCCCTCAACCGAAGCCGTTTTGATATTCTAAAACTACGTGAAGTTTCCTATCAGATGATATCAAGCTTTGCTAACAACAACCATTTCTTGTGGTTACGAATTTCCGGGTTTGCAAAAAAACGAAAGTACTTATGTGCCAACCCAATACTTCCAAGTCCAACTCCATCGGCCGACCCGACCTCGGAGCATCTCCTTTCTTGAATTTGGCGAACCAATTCTTGCATGTCATGTAAGAGATGACGTCCTCACCGTATGTATCCACCAGCTTGGTATGGGCTTCCTTTGCATTCCAGCCGAAATCGTGGAGCAAAACCAAACAGTGGCGCAGGTACGTTTTGTCACAGTGCAAATTGTGCGACATTGTGTACTGCAAATGCAAGCTCGGTGAGTGATAGCTAGTGTAATGAAAGAGTATAATGTACACGTCACGCACACGTGATGACGTAATACCAACATCCATGCGAAATAGGAGAGGATCAAACACGTGTATAAGAACTTATGCGACAACCTAATACATTTACCTGCATAATTTCAGTAACCATACGGATGAAGCGGCACTGGCACATCCACTTATTATGTCATCGTCCACTGCTGGTGCTTTTTCGCCGCAGAGCGCACTACGCGGCGAAGCACATAAAGCACAGAAGAGTGCACTTCCGTGCGCTCTGCGGCTTCGCCGACTTCGCCGCAGAGCGCACGGGAGTGCAGTGCATCGGTATTTTTCGGAGCTATTGGCAGTTCTGGAGTTCTGTAAGTCAGGGCAAGGTTGAAACACGGAGTGTTTCACATCCCAGAGGAACATAATTCATCGGATTTGCCTGCCTTCATCATCGATCCTGCAAGCTGCGTCGCTGCTGTGTTCAGTGCTGACCTCCGCGAATATAAACATATTTCCCCTGCCCCCCCCCTCCCCCACCTCCCCAGGAGGGGTCAAATACGACCACGCAGTCGCGGACTGCGCAAAGTATGCTTGACCTTGCTCTCCACTGAGGTGTATTGAGGCGGTGCAATGAATCAAAGGTCTTGCGATATCACTGTGTGATTTTTGGCGTGGAATGCGCCAAATATCGTCTCATTAGAACGCAACTGCGCCAAATATCGTCTCATTAGAAATAGTCATCCTTTTCCCAAATGTAACCCGTTGTACTCACTATTTTTGGATGGCAGTAAGTGAACTTATCTGTCGCATGTTGGGTAAATATGGAACTTTATACATGAGGTAGAATATGTGAAAGAAGATGAGAAGCAGATTTTTATCCGAAGTGATGGTGATGTCCGTGACCGAAACCACCATGTCCATGACCAAATCCGTGTCCATGTCCGTGTCCAGGTCCATGCCCGAATCCACGACCAGGTCCGCGACCAAAACCACGGCCAGGTCCATGTCCTTGAAATAAATTTTTGAATATCAGAAGAATCTCTTACAACTCAGAGGAATTCCATTTTTGAGCACATCATTATTATATGATTATTGTTCTGTTCGCTGATGGAGTTCAGTTTTGTTTCATCTACCAAAACTGCTACACAGGGTCAGAAAACCGTTGAGAAATCCTCGACGGAGTGGTCCCTTTTGGCTTGTATATATTGGGCTGGTGGGGGGTATATTTGGTGAGTCAGCAGTCCACACTGCTCTGATAGGGTGAGTGGGGGACCGGAAAAAAAAGTTAAAAGCACTGCTAGTGAGGTTGTAGTATGGACACCCTTCAGGTGAGATTGGATTTGTAATATGAGCCCAATGGAATTAAGAAGAGAGGATGTCAGTTTCCAGCAATCTTAGATTCCCTTCAAAAGTTATGTGCAAAGGAATTATGTCCTTCTGAAAGGCCTCCATACTACCATACTACCTCCATGAACTTGCGCGCAGACGACGCAACATGCAGTTAACTCATTGCCGGGAAAAAATCCTCAACGGCAGATTTTTCAGATGATGAGCTATGATGAGTTAATGATTTTGTAATGTTTATTAGTAGTGAATCTTCTTCTTTTCGTCCCCTACATTTGTTTTGTCCTGGGTCCTGTATTGTCGAAATTATGATCCCTGAAAGGTTGAAAACTTGCGTGCCTGCAAAATTTTCATCAGCAATTTTTATGCGAAGCCATGGGACCTCCCTCAAGATTAGTTTGAAAGGTGGAAGCTCCTAGGTGTTACTGAAGGGAAATACAACCTTTGAAAGTTCCAGCGCGATAACCAGTGAAATAATGAGCTCAAAAGCCGACAACTGAAGAAATCCGTTCGAACATTCAACAGTTATTTCATTCCTTTTTACTGGGAAAGAGATAGCGGGGGGGGGGTGTCGTAGTTCCACTTCTGGGCAGGGGATCGTACCAGCGGACCAGCTTTCCCCAAACTGGTGGTTGACTGTGTTGTCGTCGAAAAAAAACAAACATTGAAAAGTACTCACCGCGCCCTCCTCCTCCGAATGGACCTCGACGAGGAGACCTGAATGAATATGCAATTTCTTGGGTATTTTTGAAGAAATAATATCTTGGTATTGCAACTTTGGTAAAGCTGTTGCCAGCACAAATTTCAAAAAGAAATCAGTAAAAAAAATCGTAGAGCGAATTCAAGTAGTCAACTCACCGCCCACGAAAACCACCACCTCGTCTTGGTCCTCTGCCTTCAACACCGATTGTGCCTGAAAGTTCGTGTAGGTTACAGTACACGGCATTTTGCTCCACTGTGTGTACACTCTTATTTAAAAAAGGTCCAAAAATGGAAAAAAAAGTAACTGACTGATCAGCAAGACGACTAGTAGAAGTAAGACAATGCTGCGAAATATCATAGTTATGCGAAATGGACAGAATAGCCCAAAGGGCGCCTATTTATCAGTCTCAAGAAAAAGTGTAACAGTGCGTAATTGGTGTGGTTCACCTCCACCGATTTCTGATCGACGACTTTTGTCGCCATCACGGTGCAACAACCTGGTAACAAAGCCTATCCAAAGGGCTCCTCGAGTCCTATTGGGTGCGATGCAAAATAGCACCGGTGTGGTTCTTTATAAGTAACCTTTTTCCTGCGACATGGGGAAGAGTTGCTGTAAAAAATGCTGAGTTATGAGCAGAACACTTTATCTCGGCCGAAAATGAATTCACATTCCAGTATTACCATCGTACCATCTGGACCTTGGTGCAATCGTGCTATCACCACCCCACCAAGGTCCAGAATCGCGAAATCTGGGTTCGAGTCTTGCCTGAGGGAAAGCGTTTTGCCTTATAACTCACGTATAATTTTCACACCTTCATGCAACCTTTTTAGGAAGGGCAAAACTGGCGCTGGAATGGGTTGTATAAAAGACCCTATTCTGTTATTGTCCTTTCTCCCTGTTGCTATATTTGCTCTTCGAGTGCTGAAATTCGGACTAGTGTTGAATAGCCCAGCTATCACATGCACTGTCCCTGCACTGATCTCCAGAACATAACCTAGCCCAGGCTGAATGGAAAGAAACACCTTTTGAAATCAAGTTCTGCATGAAAGCCGAATGCGTGGCTCAACCAATAATGGTCTAATAACCTGAGTCTTAGGATTCGCCGCAGAGTAGGCTCCCGTCAGTATATTCGGAAGCAACAATGAAGCAACATACATACCAAGCAGTCTTCGAGTGTGCATGGATACTAGTTCCATTCAGAATCGTAGTGACTTATTGCGATGTGGCCCATACTGCAGTGACAATGCCTACAATGATTTTATCATTCTTGACGGATCTCCGGTTTACCGTCGTTCGCGGTTTAGTAGGCTTTCATGGCGTGGATGGGAGCCGATCCGGGTTTGACCATCACGTCGCGTGTGCTAAGGGGAACGACGGAGAAATCGCGAAACTGGCCGCCTTCGTTCGCGCTTGACAATATGCCGCGGACGTATTCATTGCATTGTGACCGCCCTGTCAATTGCGCAGCCCACCGATTTCATGACGACGAGGACACGATGGGCACTCTATATACCATTTTGGTCATACACACGTCTATTCTCTACCAATACCACCTAAAATCGCCGTCATTAGCGGGCGCGACATCGCACGCGACGCCCACTTGCGCGGCGAATTACGATCCTCTTGCCACATATCCTGTGGTAAGCGTGCCACTCGCCATCGCATCACCTCCGCCTCTAAAAGCAACTATAGCAGCACTGGTGGCCTTAAGCTTACGCCGTCGTCATATGCCAATATTCCATCAAAATAGGAGTCCCCATTTATTTTTTTATTACGCAGCCACTCAGGGCACATTCTACAATTATGTTTCTGACGTCACGTAGCATCATAACATACAGCTGACTCCTATCTTGACCAAACATTGAAGTCATACGACTTGCTTAATCAGGAATTCTCATAAACAGAGATGTTTCCCTTAGCGCGGCAGATGTTTCCTTTAGCACGACAACGCCTCATTCTTTCGAAGATCAATTGTTCATGCGGCAAATTGGCATATCAACTATTCGGCGAAGTGCACTTCTCTCTCGGGTTCATTGTAATTAGAACGACGGGTTTAGAACGACGGGTATAATGATGGATCAGATTCGCCCACAACTATCATTCCATAGCGAAGCTAACGTTGTATTAAGTAATGCTTAGATCAACCTATAGCAATTTCATTTTTCTAGTTTTTGAACTGCTTTCCAAATTGAGCTCAAAAGAGAAAATGAGCATGTCCATGCACTGCTCAAGTCGCATAAAAATTTTGTATTATTTTTGCGTTGTCAGATCAAGTTATGAAATTAGTGTCTCCACACGCTTCTTTCAGACAGAAACGAGCAACTCTTCAACCCACTATTGCTTTTTTCTGTTAAAGATCTATAGTCGCAGAAGCTCGTTTGAGATGTGCGAAGCCGGGAAGTAAGGTCTCTTAGAAGGGTTACAGTCTAGGATCCTGCAGTCTTCACATCTACCGCTAAGCAAAACGCGCCGACCAGTGACCATTTCATTCTGGCGGTGCGAACTCCTCCGAGCGCTCGACTTCGCAAGCTGCAGAGTATGAACGGAAAACAACACACACTATATTAAGACCAGAGGTATGCTCTAGTCGAAGACAGTGTGCGCCAAAATTGCATGCTCTTATCGGCACGCGGTTTGATAGGGCAAAATCGAATTTGACGAAGACAGCGCGAGGAGCCATAATCCACTATATATGAACGGCGACGTCTGTCTGTCTGTCTGTCTGTCTGTCTGTCTGTCTGTCTGTCTGTCTGTCTGTCTGTCTGTCTGTCTGTCTGTCTGTCTGTCCGGAAATTCGGAACTACCTGAAGAGCCAGTCTCAGGGGGCGGGTCAAGGTTGGGATGGGTAGGGCATGGGCCAAGATGTACGGAACACACGTGAACTAGGCTAAGCCCCGCCCACTGTGGGCGGCGCGTGCGCATAGTTGTGAGCTTCATATTTCAAAAATTCGTAGTTCGGTTCCAAAAAGCCCCGAGAGCGGAGAAAAGTGGCAAAACAGTAGCTTGATCGTTTAGCCTTCCGAGATTGGTAACGACGTTTATTAGACTAACGTTTCGGCGAAAATCGCCTTCTTCGGAGTCCTGTAAAGTCGGAAGCACATTATCGAGACACTTCACCCAAAAACCAAAATCACTTACAAAGGAAATCAAGGGTAGGAAATCTAGGAACGAAATCGTAACAGACCTAAAACCAACCTCTTACTGATGTGGAACTCTACCGGGCACTCTGAGCCTAGAGCTTGAGCGGCGCTTTTATATGAGTTTTCAGCTCAGAGTTTCACGGGTCAAGAGGGCTTTAGGGACCATATGCCATTGTGAACAATGTGTAAAGGCCTAAAGGAAAGAATTTTGAAATTGGGCAGACCAGGTCAACCGCCATCAGGGATAAAGGGCCAGAATTTTTCAAATTGGCCCATTTCTGTTTCTCGGCGGTGACCCGGTCCTCACAATTATGTGTGTCCCCTTTCTGGCCCTTTATCCCTGATGGCGGTTGACCTGGTCTGCCCAATTTCAAAAATTCTTCCCTTTAGGCCTTTACACATTGTTCACAATGGATATGGTCCTAAAGCCCTAACAAATGACCCTAGAAACTCATGAGCCGAAAAACTCATATAAAAAAAGCGCCGCTCAAGCTCTAGGCTCATGTGCCCAGCAGATTCCACATCCAGTAGGGGATGGTTTTGGTCTGTTTACGATTTTCGTTCCTAATTTCCTACCTTGCATTCCATTTGATAGTGATCTTGGTTTCTGGGTGAAGTGTCTCGATAATGTGCTTCCGACTTTACAGGACTCCGAAGAAGGCGATTTTCGCCGAAACGTTAGTCTAATAAACGTCGTTACCAATCTCGGAAGGCTAAACGATCAAGCTACTGTACTATATACTACATATATGCCGAGATTAATAAGCCTTCATGGAAATTCTGCATTGAAAGGTGGCCCAAAACGATAGGGCCAAATCAGTTCGCGGACGAAATGACTGAAACAAACCAAATTTTGGGCGGGGCGTTCTACAGATGGGCGGTGCTTGCTTCGAGACTTTCAAAAATTCCCAGATCGGTTTCCAAAAGACCGAGAGCGGAAAAATTGGCAAACGATAGGCAATCAGTTCGAAGGACGAAATGACTGAAACAAACCCATTCTGTGCAGGGCGTTCTGTAGGTAAGCGGTGCCTGCTACGAAACTTTCAAAATT